ATTAAATATCATTAATCTAATTTGACCATTTTGCCCTTTTTTTATTATCTCATTAAATGTCATTAATCTAATTTTGGAATCACATTAATTAAGATTCTTTTCAATTTGAACCATTGATATTTAAGATGTATGGTTGAGATTGGTTCTCACAGTTACCACAAACAACTCAGTTCTCATTTGATTAAAAGCCCCTATATATATATATATAGAGAGAGAGAGAGAGAGAGAGACCAACAACTTTATAGATCAATCTTATAAGGTCATCGAGTCGAAACTTACAAAACCATTAAAGATTTCCTTTAATATTCCCCAAGATTAATTATGTGCACAAATTGGGGTAGATACAAACTCTACATCTTATCTTTATAATGATGTTGCCTCTTGTCCTTTATTCCATTCTATTTGTTTATAGTTTTCCTCAAATAGAAAGAACAAACAAGTTAAAAAGAGCCATTTACGCGGGGTTTTCTCTCCAATTAATTATCTATACTATATTATAAATAATTTAGTTAAAACTCTTAAATCCGTTCATCTCATATCTGAATTCGTGTAATTAACTGCAGATAAACACAATCAAATACAAGATAAACATCTCATTTTAAATATAAAAAATTTAAAATATAATTAATATATAATTATTAAATTCTAACAGAATACTTAATTATTATTTTTATAAATTTATAATATTAAAGTTGTGCACGGCAGGGGCGGATGCATGCTTTAGTGGTAGGGGTCCGGGGCCCCCAACAAAAAGTTAATATTAAAGCCCAAAAAAAAAAAATTACTTGTGTTTTTAAAAATTAAGTGTATTGGGCCCCCAACATTTTGATGTAAGAGGCCCCTTAATGAAAGGGTTTGAAGTTGAACTTTGAAGACTGAAGAAAACGAAGTCGGGAGACGGGAGAGACGGGACCAAACAAACGATTGAACTAACGAAGCCACGACACGAAGGTACCTTCTTCTTCAATCTTCATYGCTCTGCGCGGCTGCGCCTCTGCTTGCAGTTGCCGACATCGACGCTGTGCGGCCTGCCGGCTGCCGCCTGTGCCACTGGTGCTGTGCCTGTGCTGCCGCTGTGCGCCTCTCCGGCTCTCCTGCTGAGTGCTGACCGTTGTCGCTGTGCAAACTGCAAAGAACTGAAGAAGAAGCCAAGAGGCAAGAAGAAGCTGCTGTGACTTGTGAGCTGAGTTAGGTAAAGACTAATTTATAAAAATATGTTTGAGTTTGACTCTTTTGACTGTTTCTCAAAAACTTTAAATTAGTAATTTAGTCCAGCCGTCCAGGCCACTAGCCCACTACCCACTGCCCACTTTAAATTAAATTAGTAATTTAGGTTAATTTTATGGTAATTGATAAATGCTTTAGGTTAGATATTTTAGGTTAATTTTGTGTTGTTGGTTAATTTTGTGGTAATTGGTAAATGTTTTAGTTTAGGTATTTTATTTTTAGGTTAATTTTGTATTTTTGTTAGTTAATTTTGTGGTAATTGGTAAATGCTTAATGCTTTAGGTTATGTAATTTTAGGTTAATTTTGTTTTGTTGGTTAATTTTGTGGTAATTGGTAAATGCTTAATGCTTTAGGTTATGTAATTTTAGGTTAATTTTGTTGGTTAATTTTGTAGGTAATTTGGTAGGCAATTAGGCAAATCAAATGGAAAGATTTTTTAAAAG